GACAATGAGGAAAAGGGCAGGAGGGGAGGTGTCAGTGGGAGGGGGGACAGGGTGATGCTGGGAGAGGAGAGGAGAGGAGAGGGGAAGGGCATTGGGGGATAGAGGGGAAGGGGGAGGGGAGGTGCTGGGAGAAGGCTTGAAAGAAAGGGTGGGCATGAGAAAAGTGGGGGTGGAGCAAGTCATGTGTGAGGGCACAGAAGGGTAGGAGGGGAACGGAGCAGAGGATGGTGAGGGGGAGGGCATCAGGGAAAAAGAGGGCAAAGGGGACAGGGGCAGTAAGGGAAGGAGGAGGCACCAGGAGGGTGCAGGGCTAAGGGAAGGCGCAGGTGCCAGGGGATTCTGGGGTGAAGCAGAAGGGCAGACACCTGCAGGGTAGGGACCAGCACCAGAGGAGAGAGGCAGGGCAGGTGTGTAGAGGGAGGTGTTAGAAGAGGGGTGGAATAATCCCTTTTTTCAATAGTACTCTGTTGAAAAAAGGCGCTATTGCATGCAAACTGCTTTTTCAAAAGAGAGCGTCTAGACTCTTTTGAAAAAGCGGCTTGCTTTGTCGACAGTACTGGTTGTAGTCTAGACACTCTTTTTCGACAGAGGCTTTGTTGACAGTATCTATCGGCAAAGCCTCTGTCGAAAAAGGTGTGCAGTCTAGATGTACCCTAAGTGTTGGACAATCGCGGGCCACACCCAGAATTCATGGTATGGGCTTAAAACAATGAGGTTCTCAGTTCTTATTCACCTTTATTGATTTGGAACTTTTGGGGGTTGCTCTTTTAAGCTTTTCTACACAGTTGTGAGGGGTAAGAGCTTTTGTTCAATAGGTGAGATTCTCGTGTAATCATTTGACTCCAGCAGAGGGTATCTGATGAAAAACACCTCTTATGCATAGAAGTTAATGAAAAATTGAAGCGGATCAGAATATCCTAAAATGGTTAGGTTAAGACAGGCAGCAGGCCGAGCTCTTTAATGGAGGCTGTGAAATGCAAATATGAAAAGGAATGTGAACTTTTTCTCTCTCTTGTGCTTTCCTCCATGCTATGCCCTATGTCTTGAAGCCCTTCCTAGCCCAGACACTTCCTGGAAACTTATGTCTTCTATGCACTGTTAATTCAAATGCTTCTTGGAAACTCATGTCTTCTACGAATCCTGCCAAAACTAACCCAGATCTGAGGAAAAAAACATATTCGAGAAATACCCCCCCCCCCCCCCCCCCCCCCCTTGCTGCAATTTAAGCCCATTGCTTCTTGTCCTAACCTCAGAGGTCAAGCAGAACATTTTTTTCCTCTTCCTTATGATATTCTTTTAGATACTTGAAAGCTGCTCTCATGTCCCTTTTTGGTCTTCTCTTTTCCAAGGTAAACAAGGACAATTTCTTCAGCCTTGCCTCATATCTCATGTTCTCTAGACCTTTCATCATTTGTGTTGATCTTCTCTGGACTTTCTCCAGTTTCTCCACGTTTCCTGAAATGTGGTGCCCAGAACTGGACATGATACTCCAGCTGGGGCCTAATGTAGATGGCTCATTCCCTGCCTAGCGGGACGTGAGACTGGTGAGTTAATTTCCAATCCTCCTGTTTATTCTTTTCCTAAGCCAGGAGGACACAGTAGTTCTGATGGGGGCTCTGCAAGAAGGTAGCCCGCACTGCCCCCTGCCTGAAATCCTGTGCAGTTGTTAAACAGTTGTCCAGCCCACCCTAGAGGCAACTGCATTTCAGCGTGCCTGAAGCAACACTGCACCAGAATTCACTTAAGAGTTGGAGAATGAAATGTTGTTATCCATATTGTATGATTAAAAGGTAAAAGACCTGAACTTAATATGACCTGGCTTAGGGTCTACCATAACTTGAACACTAAGCAGAGGATAGTGAGTCACATCTAACTGAAAGTCACAGAAGATGGAAACAGGTTTTATTTCTGGTGGTATAAAGTCTATTTGGGAGTCCTCAATTATATCTGACACTTTACATCCAGTGTTTAAAGGCAGAGCTGACTAGAATCAATTGAGAGTCCTTGTCTTGTCTCAGTGATCGCTTGAGCAAAAATCATTGATAAAATCTTGTGTAGACTGACCTTGGACTCAACATGCAGGCAATATGTGTTGAAGGGCAGTGCAAGGAGGCAATGGTGGTGAGATACCATCTTACCTAGTGTAATCAGTGGTGCTGAAATCACTAAGGACTGGAATTTGACTACAGAACTGACACTTTCTTAACAAAGACTCCATTTTTGCTATTTAAAAAGTAAATCAATGTAACAGAAAACTGCAACGTTCTCTGGTAACTTTTTAAAAATCAAACTTTAAACTTTATTGAAAAGATTGGATAGTTTGCAATTGAAAATATTTGACCTACACTTAAGGCAACTGATTTAATTTTGTGTAAAATATTGCATAATAAAGGATGGCATTTTTTTGGAAAATGTTCAACTATATTGATATACATTTTGATCAGATCTACTTCTGATGTGATATTTGTGAGTGGTTGTGGTTTTTTTTGTGGGGGTGCTTTTTTAATTTTTGCTCAACAAAAAATCCTGCGTGGCAGGGCCCCACCAAAACGGTTTGAATTGGGCCCCGCACTTCGTAAAGCTGGCCCTGTCTGGGGCCTTGCATTTTCAGATTCTCGGCCCACAATGGGCTCCTCCTTCAAGGCATAGCTTCAACTTTTGCATTCACCTCACCATACAGATCCCAGGAAAAGCACTCAACACTGTTTGCCCCCTCCCGCCAAAGTCCATTCTTGTTTGGCCTATTGTTGAATGCCATTCTTGGACATTCACAATGATTCCTAGGGTTCCCATCCCATCTGCCACCTAGAGAAGTTACATATAATCCCAGCACACATTACTTCCTATACAATGAACTCCAAAGATATTTGAACTAAGTTAATTAAGGTTTTCCAAGAATATTGCAGAAAATTGCCACAGATGTCCAAAAAGCCAGCTCTCATGTTGGATGTGGCCTGTGAAGAAATGGACACTTTCTGGGACTGACAGGACAGTACCTTTCACCAGCACTAAATTATTACACAGATGCATTGACATCAAACAGTTGCCTAGAAAAGCCACAGCAGTTAGCATAAAGGACATAACCTGGAAGAGGGGACAGGGTTGGAGCACCTTGAGCCCCAGAGATTCCCAGCAGCCAAAATTTCCCCTTCTGGCTATCGCCCACCTGTGTAGCTGACAGAAGTTTCTCAGTGGCTCTTTATTTATGTAAAGGGTGGAGCCAGCCCAAGACTGGGGTGTGCGCAAAAAGTGTGTCTACTCCAGCTTGACTTGCCCTGAGAGTGCCTTGGCCAAGACAGCAAATCAAGGCAGTTCAGATTCCCAGCCCCTCACCACACACCAAATAAGGGGAAAAGGTTTTGTCAGAGCCCTTTCTTAAAATACTGGTAGTATCCGACTGTGACAGCTGTGCGCATTTAGGGAAGGCAAGTCACGCAGGATTGGGTCCCCTACATATTTCTGCCATTGTCTTTTTTTCCTTTTAACCAACTCTTCACCCCTCTGGCTTCCTGCATGTCCTAGGACCAGCATCTGCTTCCACTAACATCAATATCAGTGCTCTAATGGGAGCAGGAGCAAGGTCCCAATGGGTAGACAGCTCTGCTGCTCCTAGTGTTTTGTTCGCATTTGTGGGAACAGAAGTGGGGGGAAGCCCTGCCTGCATAGCTGTGTTTTCTTCCCTGTCCCACACCTGTCTGTGTTCTTTGTTTTTACTTATGTCTTCTTATTTTTTTAACCTAATGAATAGGGCTGAATGAGTCTTTCCGTTGTAAGACACTTGCTTGAGGCCACAAGAAAAGAACCACAACACTTTCAAGTAAGGATGCTTTTAGTTTTCATGACCGCTTTTCTAACAATGAGCTATGCGTGCTCTGATCAAGATCAATTAATGAAACACGAGAACAAAGGTTCGATAAACACACCACAATATGCTGGCAGGCAGCACAGAAACATATCCACTCACCTGAAGGTCATACTGCAGCCAGGGCTACACTGTGTTTGTAATAAGGGCAAACCTACAAATGAGCAATCTTCTCTGTGCTTTGGGAAATGCTCCTGAAGCTCAGAGTTGAATAAACCCTCCCCAGAGGCATGGTCCAAAGCCTACTGAAGTCAATGAGAGACTTTCTATCAACTTGAGTGGGATTTAACAACCAGGATCCAAGGTTGTTACTAAGCAGCAGCACAGAGGCACTTAGGGTATGTCTAGACTACATGACTCCGTTGACGGAGCCATGTAAACTAGTTTACCCGACATAGTCAATGAAGCGGGGATTTAAATAATCCCCGCTTCATTAAAATAAAAATGGCCACCACGCTGTGCCAACAATCAGCTGGTCCGGCACAGCGTGGCAGTCAAGATGCGGATCGGTCGACAAGGGAAGCCTTTGTCAACCGCTCCGGTAAACCTCGTTTCACGAAGCATAACGGAGCGGTAGACAAAGGCTTCCCTTGTCGACCAATCCGTGTCTAGACTGCCAGATCAGCTGATTGTCGGCACTGTGCAGTGGCCATTTTTATTTTAATGAAGCGGGGATTATTTAAATCCCCGCTTTATTGAGTATGTTGGGTAAACTAGTTTACATGGCTCTATCGATGGAGCCATGTAGTCTAGACATACCCCTAGGCAATGGTAGCACAGCATCTGCAGAAGACACGCTGCCAAAGGCAGGGAGGGACATAAGAATGAGACCAAAGGTCCATTTAGCCCAGTATCCTATCTGCCGATAGTGGCCAATGCCAGGTGCTTCAGAGGGAATGAACAGAACAGGTAACGATCAAGTGATCCATTCCCACTCGCCCATTCACAGCCCTGACAAAACAGAGACTAAGGGCCCATCCTTGCCCATCCTGGCTAATAGTCCTTGATGACCTATCCCCCATGAATGTATCTAGCTCATGTTTGAACTCCTCTTATAGTCGTGACCTTCATAACATCCTCTGGAAAGGAGTTCCAGGGGTGGACTCTGAGTTGTACTTCCTTTTGTTTGTTTAAAACCTGCTGCCTATTAGTTTCATTGGGTACCTCCTAGTCCTTGTGTTATGAGGAGTACATATTAATTCCTTATTTACTTTCTCCACACCACTCCTTGATTTTATAAACCTTTATCACATCTGTTCTTAGTGATCTCTTTTCCAAGCTGAAAAGACTGACTTTTATTAATCCCTTCTCCTATGGAAGCCACTCCATACCCTAATCATTTTTGTTGCCCTTTTCTGAACCTTTTCCAATCCCAATACGTTTTTTGACACGGGGCAACCAGATCTGCATGCAGTATTCAAGATGTGGGCATACCGTGAATTTCTATGGAGGCAATATGATATTTTCTCTCATTAACTACCCCTTTCCAATGATTCTCAACATTCTGGTTGCTTTTTTGACAAGTAGAGATGTGTGCTAATAACATGGATGTGGGTACTTATGGCTCTTACCTAATGGTCGGGGGGCAGCAAAGCCTTCCTCTGGTTTCACCTGCTGTACTTCAGTACCAAAGTGACAGGTGCCTTCGAGATGCCTAAAATTGGTAAGAAGACATAGCACTAGGATTATTTTATATAGTATTCATCTATTTATGAAATGCCATAGTAATAACCTTGTACAGGCTGAACAACAGAATCGCAAAACTAACATTTCTTTAAAATTGCAACTGGGTCTCCTTACAGATATTTTGGAAATGCCAGAACTGTTCACTGGAGCTTTTAAAGAGGTCTTATAAGATGAACAACAAAATATGCTGAAAGGTTACCCTCAAAATAGCTAAGGACCTTGATCATCTGTATGAGATGTGCAGCTCTCCTATGGCTTATGTAAAAGGCAGTGTTCCAAAAGGTCAGAAAGGTAATTAAAGAGACAAAAGACCAACTCTTCCCAACATAAAAGCAGGCACTCGGTCTAAACATTTGTCTGTCAGATTGTATCTCCTTAGGCTTATTAAAAATTAAGCTTTTTTTTTAAGGTCTCAATCACAAAGAGTGCAAAGTGCAAGTACAATAAGAATTACTTAGAAAACTATTCTATTTTAGTGATAAAAAACTTTGAAAAGCAAACTGCTTTGTTACAATACTGTTGTAGTAAAAGACCTTAGACCAGATTCTCCAGCAATGTTAACCAATTTTAACGGGCTATTTTACAAGTTTATAGCTGCTGTGCATGACGGGAGCAATGCCAAAGTGGCCAGAAGAAACTAATGAATCTGGCTCACTATGTATAGTATCCAGGGGAGGGAAAGGATATGACCTGTGCATGCTGTGATAGGGGAAGAGGAGAGAGAGAGCAAGAGCAGGGGAGGCAGACTGAGCACAGCTGCTTCAGCAGTGTTACTAAGTATGGTCAGCACAAACCAAACACCAAAAGAAGAGAAGGGGGAACCAACCGCATCCGCCCTCTCCCAACCAGTTTTCCCTCTAAGATTTTCCATCCTTGGGGAGGAATGGAATTTCTTTTGGGTGGGTTGAAATTACTTATGTGCAACACCAATATGGAGGTAGTGTGTGGATGTGCACTCACCAGTACAAATACAAACCATAGGTATAAATATATATTTTAAATAGTCCATTGGTGTGAAAGAAAACATATTAAAACAAGGGATAATTAACAAAGAGAAGTGCTTATTATTATTTAATATGAAATCAAATAAAAAGAAAATTAACACTACCCTTAGCTGAAGAAGTGGGTTGCGCCCACAGAAGTTCATGATACTATTTATATATTTTTGTTAGCTTAAGATGCTATAGGACCATTGTTGGTTTTTTAGTTACAGACTAACACGGCTACTCCTCTGAGACGTTGGAGTCCATGTATCTTCATCCTTTCTAACAGATAGATACATGTTTTAAAGATCTTGCAAATAAGGTTTCATCCTACAAAATAGCTAGCATCCCACCTAGTACTTATGACCTCTGACACATAAAAGCCAGAACTTTACCAGATAGCAAATATCTGGCCTTAACGCAATACAGTTTACCATGTATTAATCAGGGCATGTCTAAACTACATTCCTCTTCCGAAAGAGGAATGTAAATGAGCTCAATCGAAAATGCAAATGAAGCGTGTATTTATAAATCTTGCGCTTCGTTTGCATAATCATGAGAGCGCTTTTTTGAAAAAGGGTTTTTTGAAAAAGAAACTGCCATCTAGACGGGGTTCTATAAAAAAACCCACCCTTTTTTGAAAGAACCTGTACTACTGAAAAAAAATGAGGTGTATGGATTCTTTCGAAAAAGGGCTTTTTTTCCCCCGAAAGAACCCCGTCTAGACTGCAGCTTCTTTTTCAAAAAACCCTTTTTTGAAAAAGCGCTCTCATGCTATTCTGCAAATGAAGTGCGAAATTTGTAAATCCACGCTTCATCTGCATTTTCGATCAGGCTCATTTACATTCCTCTTTGGGAAGAGGAATGTAGTTTAGACATAGCCTTAGTAACACAGGATTTTAAAAAATCATTAAGATCAGAGTTTTAGATATCTGCAACTCTCAAAAAAATTCTGTTAAAAAAATCTTTGTCTTTCTTATCTTAAGCCATTAACATAGGGGTGGGCAATAATTTTTGATGTGGGGGGTGGCACTTTGGTAAGTGGTCAAGGTCTGCACTCTTCCGTTATATTAATGGAGGAGGTGCAGGGGTTTGGGATAGACGTTGGGTGCAGAAGGGAGATTGGGATATGGGATTGGTGTGTAGGATCTGGGAGGGAGTTTGGGTGAAGTAGGGGATCATGACCTGGAGCAATGGACTGCGGTGAGGAGGGGGTGCAGGGCCTGGGAGGGAGTGACCTGGGGCAGGAGTGCAGGGATTTGGGCTGTGACCAGGGATAGCAGATTGGGGTGCAAGGTCTGAGAGGGGATTGTGACCTGAGGAGGAGTGTAAGAGGGGATGCAGTGTCTGGGAAGGTGTATGAGGCCTGGAGCAGGGGTGCAGAAGGTTTGGGTTACATGGGGTAGGAGGGCAGAAGGGGGATAGGGGGTAAAGGAGGGGGAGGCTGGAGGTTACCTGGCCCCCAGCCAGCAGCCCATCAGGTTCCTTAGCCAAGGTCCCTGCCTTCCAGCCCCTGTACATGCTCAGGGGAGCTGTAGGAGCCATGTTTATTGTTCTGAACTGAATGCTGTGAGCCATGGGGATGAGGGAGGAAGGACGCGTCTCATCCTGCCTGTCCTGCAAACAGGCAGCTGCTAGTGGTTGAAACTGGCCAATGTGAGCTATTGGGGGCAGGGGCAGCATGAGAAGCCTGTCTCCCCTCCTTCCAGGGACTCAGCATTCACAAACACACACATGGCCCTGCATCTGGCTTTCCGGAATGCCAAGCTGGTGCAGGGCAGGCAGGGAGCTGGCTGAGGCTTTCACAGCCAGATCAGACAGCAGCAGCTTCTGCTCCTCTGAGAAGGTGAATGCACCTTCTCCCCTTCCCAGCCAATCAGCTGAGCTCCCTGCCTACGTGGGGAGCTCTGAACATCTGTAGGGCTCAGAAAAGGGCTGTGTGCCCACGCGGGCACACAGCTTACAGGGAACCTTGCCTCCCCCCCCCACATCTCTATCGAAGGTCTACCACAGCACTGGAAAACTCTGCTGGTTTTGGCAGACAACTTAACAGTTAGCTGATAAGAGCACTGTATCTAATTCCTATATAAAAGAAAGAAAATTAAATAAATATATTAGACTCAGCTCTAAAATTAACATGTTCTGACATCTTGTGGACAGTCACTTAAGGGACACTAGTTAGCCTTAAAATGTTAATGTCTAGTCTTACTATGTTACTAACTCTGGGAAGAAAGAGACCCTGTCAGGACTCCTGGGCATGCTCTCAGCTCTGGAAGGAAAGTGGGGTCTATAGAGTTAGAGCAAGGGGGCATGTACATTTCAGCTCTATACAAAAACATCAGAATGCCATATTGGGTCAGATCAAAGGTCCTTCTAGACCTGTATTCTATCTTCCAACACTGGCCAATGCCAGGTGCTTCAGAAGGAATAAACAGAACATGCAATTATCATGATCCATCCTGTCACTCATTCCCAGCTTCTGGAAAACAGAAGCTAGG